AAATGTTTTTTTTTTCTTTTTCTTTTTGTTCAGAAACAATAACCCTTCAAATGTAACACTTAGTTCTGTAAAGTATTATACTTATCCACGCAATAACAAAATGAAACTAAATATATGCATAGTCTCAACTAACTCAAAATTTACTTTACTCATAATTATACTTAACCACATTAAAAGTACTACAGGTACAATTTAGTTAAAAACATCTTGAAGTTATAATAAACTGAATTACAATATCTCATATAAAATATACATATAATACATACTCCATCTCACGAAAAAACTAAAAACTATATAGCCTATACCCGTTCACAAGATGCTATTTAGTGTAGGTGTAATTAATAATGCATGGTGCGATTCAGAATTGGGACAACAATAAAAATGAAAACTAAAAAAATCTTCATTAAACTAGTATCTTCATTCACTTTTATTATTAAAAATAAAATAAAAAATCCAAGTAAATGTGGGTGACTGTTGATGGGCAAAAAAAGACAAAAGCCAAAAAAGTCTACGGGTTTGACTGTCCAGTTCGGTAATAATCTAATAACTCTGTCTTTGACCGCACGCTCGTGTAGGGGTCCTTCTGACAATATTTTTCACTGTTCTACCCCTACTCGTGATCCCTCCCTTTCCCCTTCTTTCAAGGGTACTTTTGGTATTCCCTTTTTCTATAAACCCGATGGTGACCGTACCGGACTTCCTGGGATTCTCCTTCTTCTGAGTTTTGGCAGCATTTATCAAAGGGAACTCTTTTTATAATTAATTAGCACGAATGGGTTTATTAATTAACTAACAAACAAATATATATTCACACTTGGATCATCAGATAATTACTTCTCCTTCTTCTCTATTCTACCAATGGTGAAAGACGATTAATTTAAGTATAATTATATGAATTATATCCAAAATAATAATAACGATATAATATTAGCTGTTAAACAATGTTTAGCATCGCAGCTTTCTGCAACTTTTGTTTTTGTTAATTATAGAATAAGTAAAAGTTAAATAAATAGAAAAGGAGCATATCGAGGGCAACAAAAGTAATGAAGAAAACAAAAGCGAGGAAGCTCATTGGTTAGGTTTAAGCTTAATTGTAAGATTTTAATTTATATAATGACGATGATATAACAAAGGAATTATACTTATATCTTTTTTTTTTTCTGACTTCTTTAAAAACCATCCTCTTACAAACAGAAGCTCCCTTTTTCAGTAGAGGTCCGATTCCCAATCTTAAAAGCTACTTACAACAAAGCATTTTTAGAGAGACATAGAGAGATAGAGAGAGAAGCTCCATGTTCGAAACAGAGCATCATACTCTCTTGCCTCTTCTTCTTCTCCCATCGCTTTTGTCTCTTCTCCTCTTCTTGATCCTCTTGAAGAGACGAAGTAGAACAAGATTCAATCTCCCTCCGGGTCAATCCGGTTGGCCATTTCTTGGTGAAACCATTGGTTATCTCAAACCTTACTCCGCCACAACTCTTGGTGACTTCATGCAACAACATATCTCCAAGTATAAACACATCCAAAACAAAAAAAAAACAAAAAAGATCCTCTTTTTCTTTTTTGAAAATTTAACCTTTTTTTTTGTTCTTAAACAGGTATGGAAAGATATATAGATCGAATTTGTTTGGAGAACCAACGATCGTATCAGCTGATGCTGGACTTAACAGATTCATATTACAAAACGAAGGGAGGCTATTTGAATGTAGTTACCCTCGAAGTATCGGTGGGATTCTTGGGAAATGGTCGATGCTTGTTCTTGTTGGGGACATGCATAGAGACATGAGAAGTATCTCTCTTAACTTCTTGAGCCACGCTCGTCTTAAAACCATTCTTCTTAAAGACGTTGAGAGACACACTTTGTTTGTTCTTGATTCTTGGCAACAACACTCTGTTTTCTCTGCTCAAGATGAGGCCAAAAAGGTTTTTTTTTTTCTTTTCTTTTCTTTCTTATTCTTCTCTTGCTCGAATTGGTTTGAGTTTGCTAACTCTTTGGGTTTTAATTTGAATAGTTTACGTTTAATCTAATGGCGAAGCATATAATGAGTATGGATCCTGGAGAAGAAGAAACAGAGCAATTAAAGAAAGAGTATGTAACTTTCATGAAAGGTGTTGTCTCTGCTCCTCTCAATCTCCCCGGAACTGCTTATCGTAAAGCCCTCCAGGTACATTTAATTGCTGTTCAAGACACAACCTTTCATTATAGGTTGTGTTTTTTTTTTTTTTTAATTAATTGAAAAACTCTGAAACGATTGTACAGTCACGAGCGACGATACTAAAGTTTATTGAGAGGAAAATGGAAGAGAGGAAAGCAGAGATTAAGGAAGAAGATCAAGAAGAAGAAGAAGTGAGAACAGAGGATGAAGCAGAGATGAGTAAGAGTGATCATGTGAGGAAACATAGAACAGACGATGATCTTTTGGGATGGGTTTTGAAACATTCGAATCTTTCGACTGAGCAAATCCTCGATCTCATTCTTAGTTTGTTGTTCGCCGGACATGAGACTTCTTCTGTCGCCATTGCTCTCGCTATCTTCTTCTTGCAAGCTTGCCCTACAGCCGTTCAAGAGCTTAGGGTAAGTTTTAATTATAGGGAAACAGTTATTTACTAGTTACCAAAACTGTTACGTATCACTATATAAGTGTACGATAAAGAAACTTTATATTCTTAATTATCACTAATTAATGTTTATTGAATTAAACTTTTTGAAGGAAGAGCATCTTGAGATCGCGAGGGCGAAGAAGGAACTAGGAGAGTCAGAATTGAATTGGGATGATTACAAGAAAATGGACTTTACTCAATGCGTATGTTTATTTTAATTATTTTTCATTTTTCTGTATAATATGATGAAAACTAAAATTATTGATATTGTTTTTGTTTGGTGTGAAGGTTATAAATGAGACACTTCGATTGGGAAATGTAGTTAGGTTTTTGCATCGCAAAGCACTCAAAGACGTTCGGTACAAAGGTAAACTTTACGTACACAGTTTAAATAATGAAAATCCAAAAAATATTGAAACCTTATTGGATGATTAAATTTAAATATTTTCTAATTTTTTTCTATGTTGGAAAAAAAGGATACGATATCCCTAGTGGGTGGAAAGTGTTACCGGTGATCTCAGCCGTACATTTGGATAATTCTCGTTACGACCAACCTAATCTCTTTAATCCTTGGCGATGGCAACAGGTAATAACAACAATTAAAAGTGTATTAATTAACATATAGTTTCATCTATTTGCATGAACAGATACGTCATACGTGCATATGCATTTGATTAATCTGGCAATAAAACCCATGTACATACTGTATACATATATTTATAATTATCTTTAAAGTTGGATCTTAACACGTCATAGATCATTAATCACATGAAAGCATATAAAATTAAATAATGCGAAACTAAAGTAATAATAAGAGAGAGAGAGAGACGTGTTGGTTGTAAGTGTACGTGAAGACAATTAATTAGTAGGATGGTATGTCTTTTAGTGACGTACGTAGGAGCTTGCTTTGTTCTTAACATTCTTATACAATAGTGACCTTTGATTAATTTTTTTGTTATTTATTAGTCATGGGGCTTTGATAATTAAATTGTACTAGTTAGTAGAGAGATTAGATTCGACGGACGAATATGGTATAGTACTACGGCTTTGACGGATCTCACACGGCCGATGACTTGTACGTGTGTAATCAGACTTTTCCAAGTTGACCTGTCCTTAGATTTAAAATTAAATACAGTCTACTACTACTATCGAATCAAATCGGTCGAATTAGAAAACTATATACTATATAGTCGTATGTTATTATGAGATGATACTAGTTTCCCAAATACTTTTTTTTAAAAACTGAATAATGTGGGAGTCATGATGTTTGAAGAAGTGAGTGGGGAAGGTAAGAGGTCGTGAGAGATGATTAATGACCCACGTGGTGTGGTGCCAACATGCACGTGTTCTTCTTTCTTCTCAGTCCCAAACTTAATTTTTTTGGTTTTGTTTTTTGTTTTTATAATATGAGAGCAGAAGATAAACAACGGGGCGTCAGGAAGTGGTGGTGGTAGTTTCTCGACGTGGGGAAACAACTACATGCCGTTTGGAGGAGGGCCAAGGCTATGTGCTGGTTCAGAGCTAGCCAAGTTAGAGATGGCTGTGTTTATTCATCATCTTGTTCTTAAGTTCGATTGGGAATTAGCACAAGATGATCAACCATTTGCTTTTCCTTTCGTCGATTTTCCTAACGGTTTGCCTATTAGGGTTTCTCGTATTCTGTAAAAAAATTGAAAAAAAAAAAAGATGAAAAAAGTATTTTTATTCTCTTCTTTTTTTTTTTGATTATTTTTAATCATTATTTTTTCTAGACCGAATTGGACTAAATAAATAAAAAGTGCATGAATAATACTTTTGTGAAGTTCGGGTTTGGGATTAGAAGAAGGCTTTCGAAAATGGACGAAATGTTTTGTATCTTTAACATTTGTATTGTATAGGATGGATGATGTTGTTTAATTGTTAGTGTCGTCGATTACTAATTGAAACCTTGCATGGACCTTTTTATAAAGCCCAATCATATTACAGATTATAAAATTTATAACGAACGAATTCAAGACATACAAAGTACGAATGATGCAAAAGAAGTTTAAGCTTTACAGATTCCCCAATTTGTTCAAGAACACGAAAAAAATGTATTAAAAAAACTTTATATGCTTTGATCCTGCACTGCCTATGACGGCAAGAAGTTCATTCTTAACCTACTACACTCATAACAACAAAACTTTGATTGGCTGTATCCATTTTGTTTGACACGTGGTTCGGTGTCAAAGCATTAAGCCTGACACTGACAAGAAAATTTTCTTTGTTTGTGGATAATTTGTTGGGCTCAAACTGTGCTACTACTTTTTCCTTTAAAGCTTCTGTTCTGGGCCTTTTGTTTCGGCCTTGTTGTATGCTGGGAACTGTGAGTTTTTAATAAAATCTTCCCCTTCTGAGAAAAAATAAAACCCGATCGAACGACTCAAGTTTGATGAAAGATCTCTCTCTCTCTCTCTCTACTAAAAGTCTCTCGTTTGTTTCACTCTCTCTCTCTCTCTCTCTGAAGCTTTATAGCCGGCGAGATCTAGCCGGAGAATGGCATACATGTGCACTGATAGTGGAAACCTAATGGCTATAGCTCAACAACTCATCAAACAGAAGCAGCAACAAGAAGAAGAGCAGCAACAAGACCAACAAAATCAATCCTTTGGTTTCTCCGACCCGTTCCAAGTATCCAACGACCCGGGTTTCCACTTCCCACACTTGGAGCATCATCGAAACACCTCCGACGGGTTCATGTTTTCTGACGGTGGAGAGTTTGACTCTGACGAGTGGATAGAGACCTTAATCAACGGTGGAGATTCGCTTCAAACCAACCCGGACTTCTCAATCTACGGCCACGATTCATTCTTCACATTCCCGGGTCGACTCAGTGCTCCTTCAAAGGATAATGACTCAGCGAGTCAACAACTCTCCCAACCACCAGATTCCGCCGCTATGTGGACTCCATCTCCGCCATCACCTCAACATCATCATTCTCCTCCTCCGCCGCCGCAGGATTTTGACCTAAACCAACCGATTTTAAAAGCTATTTACGACTACGCACGTAAACCGGGAACTAAACCGGAAGCACTAATCCAAATCCGGGAATCCGTATCAGAGTTGGGTAACCCGATAGAGCGAGTCGGGTTTTACTTCGCAGAAGCTCTGTCTCATAAAGAAACAGAACCATCTCCGGCGGCGTCGTCGTCGTCGCTAGAAGAGTTCATACTCTCTTACAAAACCTTGAGCGACGCATGCCCTTACTCAAAGTTCGCTCATTTAACAGCGAATCAAGCGATTCTCGAAGCTACGAGCCAATCTCAAAACATTCACATCGTCGATTTCGGGATTTTTCAAGGGATCCAGTGGTCTGCTCTGTTACAAGCTTTAGCGACCCGAGCTTCTGGTAAACCCATCCGGATCCGGATTTCGGGTATACCCGCTCCGTCTCTAGGAGACTCACCGGAGCCGTCTCTGATCGCTACTGGAAACCGTCTCCGTGATTTCGCGGCGATTTTGGATCTCAATTTCGAGTTTAACCCGGTTCTCACTCCGATTCAGTTACTAACCGAGTCGAGTTTTCGGGTTGACCCGGATGAGGTTTTGGTTGTAAATTTCATGCTTGAGCTGTACAAGCTTCTTGATGAGACGGCGACGGGTGTTGGTACGGCTCTCCGGCTAGCCAGATCGCTAAACCCGAGGATTGTAACGCTTGGTGAATACGAAGTTAGTTTAAACCGGGTTGAGTTTTCTAATCGGGTTAAGAACTCTCTCCGGTTCTATTCCGCGGTTTTCGAGTCGCTTGAACCGAATTTGGAGCGTGATTCCAAAGAAAGGTCGAGGGTTGAGAGAGTGTTGTTCGGTAGGAGGATATCAGAGTTGGTACGTATGGATAATGGGCTAATGGAGGAGAAAGAACAGTGGAGAGTGTTGATGGAAAAAGCAGGTTTCGAGCCGGTTAAACCGAGCAATTACGCGGTTAGCCAAGCGAAGCTGTTACTATGGAACTATAACTACAGCACATTGTACTCACTTGTTGAATCGGAGCCAGGGTTCATCTCCTTGGCTTGGAACAATGTACCTCTCCTCACTGTTTCCTCTTGGCGTTGACCCGACGCCGGTCCAATCAGTCTGATCCGACTTGGTCCGCAGGTTACTTTAGTTTTCTTCCTATTGTTGGTAAGTTGATATAGTCTTTTGAGTTAGATTTTCAAAATTGTATCATTTGGGGGAATATATATTTGGGATTTTCTCTGAAGTAGTGAAGTTTATTGAAAGTGGTTTTTTGATTTGGCTGTATAATGATATTAGTCTCTAAGCTAGTACTATTTGTGGCTACTCTTTTGAACTAGTGCTTTTGAAGTAATGTTATATTGTGTGCGCAACATTTGATTAGACTCCTTTGGTTTAAACGAAAGAAGCTTAAATATATTGATTTTGAAGTTGGAGTATGATCTTTAATATTCTTCCTTTTCATCGGTCTTTCCTTCTTTTTGTCACTACACTTTCTTGCCTATAGGGTTTATTTATGTATAGGAGAGGAAGTTTTGATGGTAATTAAGCAATAGAACAAACAAAAGATAACAGAGAACAAATGGAAAGTTCTCACGTGCCTCCATGTGATCTTGAACTCCATCAAGATACAAAGATCAACATCTTGCCACAATGAAGGATACTATATATCTACAACTTCTTTGTCAAAGATTCATGTATAAAATATATAGCTAGACTATCGTATCTAGTTTCCTAAAGAATTACAATTAGGATCAATTTATTTTAGTGTACGTTATGATATACTAAGTGATATCACACTGATAAGAGGTGATATCAACATTTTTTGGTGCGTGCAAAGTCCAAAAATCGAGCTTGTTTCAGAATTCCTTGTAAGCTTGATATCCCAATGGTTTGGTAAAGATATATGCGAGTTGTTGAGAAGAAAAAACATGATGTATGGACATTGTGCTTTTTTTTTTGTATTTCGTCCCAAACTGCATGATAATCAGTTTCAATGTATTCGGTGCGCTCATAACAGACGAGATTATTACTGATGTAGATCGATGATTGTTTTTTTTGTCACAAATTCACAATGTATATATGCGCATAAAGGAGACACAACGTAAGGCTATAAGAAGAAGATTCATTTAACTAAATATGTTTTTTTATCAATGTTATTACCATGATTTTACATTTTTGTAACATTATTTTTGGTTTAATATGAATATATTAACAAAACAATGAGCAAAAAAGAGTGTAAAATATAAGCAATCCATAAGTAAAATATAAAATACCATTTAAATTCTTTTCACATGTATATGTTTTATTACCACTTCCGCTTCTGGTTAGTTAATTAAAACTTGTTTGTAGGAAAGTAAAATCTATTAAAGTTCTCAAGTTTGATCATGTGGATTTTCAACTAATGTAAGTTTGGTTGAAATAGCTTATTTTTCAAAATTCAAAAACCAAAACAAATCTAGCTCAAGCATATTATAATTAACTTTCATATTTTATTTTAATTCAAATATCTAATCCGGCAAGCCAACACCAACCGCTTCGAGTCTTATTTCTAAGTTGAATGTTGTTATTAAAAAAAAAAAAAAACACAATAGGTAATTAGTAATTACGTATAAACATTAAGCACACAAGTAGTATCTACGTTTATTTATTGGGAGATTCCAACTACAAATAATGTCACTGAAAAATCTTCAGGAGCAGTGTCCTCTTTTCAGGATCCTTTGCTGGACCAGTAAAGGTAATACTCGTTACCAAACACTGGGTCTCCTCTTTTGAAGTCAAGATATTTTCCAACTCCAAGGTCAGGCCAAATTAAATCATTTGGTACTTGCAAAAAGATGTAGGCGTGTAGCAGTATTAATATGTATGAAGGAGGCTGTTACGTGAGAAGATTGAAACCAATACTTGACAGATCATGAAAACGAGATTGACCCAAATGTTATCTGTAATACTATATCTATAACAAAATAGCTCTACGTCTCGCACGTAGAGATCTCCTGAAATAATCCATATAAAAACGGTGGATCAAGAAACTAAGTAAAAGAGAGAAAAAAAAAACAGTTTGAATTAGGAACTAACATAAACTTCTCAATGTTAGTTTTATATATAGAGATATATTTGGTTAATTAAAGGTTCACATGAAAGTTGTGTAAAATGCAAAGGATGAGACAAAAAGAGGGTAAATTTTAGTTGGTAAGACCCGAAATGAAAATTAGTGTAAAAAAAAGCAAAGGATGTGACAAAAATGGGTAAACATATAGAGAGACTTTCTTGGGGATGACTCAATGCCACTCTTTGGTCATACATACGAAACCCCACCGATGACTTGGATAGAAAGAAAAGACAAATCAAAACCTTTCATTCTTTACTCATGTCCCTTTCAACATACACACACACCCACACTCATTCTCTCTCTCTCTCTCTCTCTCTAAGTCCACTTGCAGATAGGTGCAATGGTTAAACACTAAAGTGGCGTTGCCATTTTCAAAGACAAGTCCTTTTCAAAATATCACCTTTCTTCATTCTCCATCTATGTATGCTAATCTGGTCACTTCTTGAAATCATTACGAATTTGGAACAGTCCATGTCACTTGGTAGTAAAAATGTCAAAAGTGAAAGACAAAACAAAAGTAGATTTGGACCAGAGACTATATACCATGTTTGGTAATGTAATTTATAGTTTGATTTAGAGATTAAAAACATAAAAACAAAGTAGTGGGAAGTAGTATAAGGCCTTTTGACGCGGATACAACGATGAAATGAAAAGAGTGATGTCTCAAAGAGTCAAGCGTCATTCCCATGTGCTTTTTGGTTCACCATTATTCATTCGCTTTAGATTTTTTTTTTTTTATATCACAAAGTCTCTCGTAAGAGCTTTCACACACTAGATGGTTTCGAACTCAGCTCTCAAAATATGCAAACTCTCTCGTTTCATCATGTTTGCGGAACCTCAAATAACGTACGTTGTTTAATTCATGAATGATAAAACATGGTTTGCTAGCTGTTGATGAGAGAAACTTGAAAAACCCTATAGGACTTCGTCTCTTTGAAATCTTTTCTTGTTTCTTTTTATTAGCTTTTGAGCTTTTTTCTTGGTTTGCTAGCTGTTGAGAGACTTGAAAAATCTGTAGTACTTCGTCTCTTTCTTGTTTCTTTTTGTTAGCGTTGAGCTTTTCTTTATAACATTTTCTTCGTCAAAGATCAGTCCAACAAAATACTAGGAGAGACCCCGCCACAAATCGCTTTTGTTCAATCGTATATGAGCCTAGTTAATTTTATGGACCTACACAAGCCATCCTTGTCGACAATGACGTTAAGATATATAATACATGCGTATACAAATAAAACATGTCTATCTATCATATGCATCATCACTCTAAATTCTTTAATGTTAAGTCGTATTCTAGATAGCTTAGCTTGTCGAACGGTGTTTGCCAAAGTGACTGAAACTTAAACCGATCGTAACCAATTCATCATCACCCTTGTACACCACCTACTAACTATTTGTTAACCAAGTCCAATTCAACCATCGCTTGGTTGATAAGAAACAGATTTGTAAAACTAAAAAACTAGACCTTTTTTTTTGTAGACTTTAAAAACTAGACCTTTGCGGCTTAAAAGCAACAAAAACTATTATAAAAGAAATTAACATACTATTTTTTTTTTCTTTTTTTCTTCTTACATGATCTCTTTTACGTGTTCTACTTCTGTCTTTGTCAGAGTTATTTTTACCTTTTATAATACTGTTAATTAAATTTAGAAATGAAGTAAAAAAAAAAAAAAAGAATACAGAAAAAGTTGCCAGGAGACATGCAGGTGACAAGTAGCAGAAGACAGTTGTGGACGTGTCACCTTCACCATTGATCTCTGATACGACGAACCTGATGTAAAATCAAACGGTGGAGAGGTGATGTCACACTCTCTTCCGATACGTTACTGCCGGATACATGACGTCATTGTCCATCGCTGGTGGTTCCCCATCCCTCTCGACTATACTAAACCAGCATTACGAAGTTTGAATATTTATTCAATTTTTAAGATTAGTAAAATTTAACAAATTTACGTATAGGATATACATATAACAAAATCAAGGCATTTAAAAATTATTGTTAATTTGAAAGTTTTATGTAATGACTAACTTTATTTTCCATTTTAGTAAAATATGTGATTCTTAGATAACTCTTACTTTTCATAAATAAATTATTATGTTACTGTTATGCAGATTAACAACGTTATATAAATTAGAAAAGAAAAATAGAACTTGGAGATTAAAAGTGGTAATTGATTGTTTAAAAAATTATTACAGTACTTACAAAACATACTCATTATAAATAAATTAATAAAACCAAATCGAACGGACCCTAGTTTGATCAAAAGATTTGTCTCTCTCTCTCTCTCTCTCTACTAAAAAATCTCTCCTTTGTTCCTCTCTCTCTCCTTCACTTTCTCTGAAGCTTTATAGCCGGCGAGAACTAGCCGGAGAATGGCATACATGTGCACTGATAGTGGAAACTTAATGGCTATAGCTCAACAACTCATCAAACAGAAGCAGCAACAACAAAAACAGCAAGAACAAGAAGAGCAGCAACAACGACAAGAACATGACCAACAAAATCAATCCTTTGGTTTCTCCGACCCGTTTCAAGTATCCAACGACCCGGGTTTCCACTTCCCACACCTCGAGCATCACCGAAACACTTCCGACGGGTTTAGGTTTTCTGACGGTGGAGAGTTTGACTCTGACGAGTGGATGGAGACCTTAATCAACGGTGGAGATTCGCTTCAAACCAACCCGGACTTCTCAATCTACGGCCACGATCCATTCGTCACATTTCCGAGTCGACTCAGTGTTCCTTCAAAGGATAATGACTCAGCGAGTCAACAACTCTCTCAACCACCAGCTTCCACCGCTATATGGACTCCATCTCCGCCATCACCACAACAACATCATCCTCCTCCTCCTCCGCCGCCGACTCCACCGCAGCCAGATTTTGACCTAAACCAACCGATTTTAAAAGCTATCTACGAATATGCACGTAAACCGGGAACTATACCGGAAACACTTACCCAAATCAGAGAATCCGTATCAGAGTTGGGTAACCCGATAGAGCGAGTCGGGTTTTACTTCGTAGAAGCTCTGTCTCATAAAGAAACAGAACCATCTCCGGCGGCATCGTCGTCGCTAGAAGAGTTCATACTCTCTTACAAAACCTTGAACGACGCATGTCCTTACTCAAAGTTCGCTCATTTAACAGCAAACCAAGCGATTCTCGAAGCTACAAGCCAATCCCAAAACATTCACATCGTCGATTTCGGGATTTTTCAAGGGATCCAGTGGTCTGCTCTGTTACAAGCTCTGGCGACCCGAGCTTCTGGTAAACCCACCCGGATCCGGATTTCGGGTATACCCGCTCCGTCTCTAGGAGACTCACCGGAGCCCTCTCTGATCGCTACTGGAAACCGTCTCCGTGATTTCGCGGCGATTTTGGATCTCAATTTCGAGTTTAACCCGGTTCTCACTCCGATTCAGTTACTAACCGGGTCGAGTTTTCGGGTTGACCCGGATGAGGTTTTGGTTGTGAATTTCATGCTTGAGCTGTACAAGCTTCTTGATGAGACGGCGACGGGTGTTGGTACGGCTCTCCGGTTAGCCAGATCGCTAAACCCGAGGATTGTGACGCTTGGTGAATACGAAGTTAGTTTAAACCGGGTTGAGTTTGCTAATCGGGTTAAGAACTCTCTCCGGTTCTATTCCGCGGTTTTTGAGTCGCTTGAACCGAATTTGGAGCGTGATTCCAAAGAAAGGCAGAGGGTTGAGAGAGTGTTGTTCGGTAGGAGGATATCAGAGTTGGTCCGAACGGGTAATGTTAATATCAAACCGGGAACCCGGTTGGGGCTAATGGAGGAGAAAGAACAATGGAGAGTACTGATGGAAAAAGCCGGTTTCGAGCCGGTTAAACCGAGCAATTACGCGGTTAGCCAAGCGAAGCTGTTACTATGGAACTATAACTACAGCACATTGTACTCACTTGTTGAATCGGAGCCAGGGTTCATCTCCTTGGCTTGGAACAATGTACCACTCCTCACTGTTTCGTCTTGGCGTTGACCGGTCCCGGTTCAATCAATCCGATCCGACCTGGTTACTTTATTTGTCTTCGTATTGTTGATACTTGATAAGTTAATCTAGTCTTTTGAGTTAGTTTTATTTGGGGGAATGTATATTTGGGATTTTCTCTGAAGTAGTGAAATTGATTGAAAATGGTTTTTGATTTGGCTGTGTAATTAAATTAGTATCTAAGCTAGTACTATTTGTGTTAATCTTCTGAACTAGTGCTTTGGAGTAATGTTATATTGTGTGTGTAACATTTGACTAAAGACTTCTTTGGTATTAAACGAAAGAAGCTTAAATATATTGATTTTGGTAGTAGGGTATGATCTTTTATTTTCATATTTTGTTACTTGGTCCCATAAATTGAAAAAGCTCTTAAGATATTTCACTAACACACCATTAATTTATTCTTCCTTTTCATCATTCTTTCCTCCTTTTGTCACTACTTTTTCTTGCCTATATTGTAGTATTTGTTTACTAATTAAATGAAAAATCATATACCAATAAATGTGTACCATTCACTAGATAATAAAAGAGATAGGACCGTTAAGAAAATTATTTATGAGTAAAAAGCCAAAAGAAAAAGATAATACAAAAAAATAGGTTTTGTACTTAGGAAGGAACGCACTGACCCATTCACTCTTTCTCAGTGTCAGTCTGTACCCTCTTTGTTCAAAACTTCAAAACGTGCCATGATGACGTCAACTCCTCGATCTTTCTTCGGTGGTGGTGGTGGTCTTTTGGTCCCCATGTCTTTCTCTCCGTAGTGGATCCATTCCCATTTCCAGCCATTACTTTGAATTTGATCTTATATATATATATAACCTTTCTCTTGGTCCCAAAAAGGGTAAGTAACAGTAGAGTTAATATTGTTGATTGTAAGAGACTTGATCCTGACCCAAAAAACAAAATTAGATTTGAATTTGAGATCGATAGGCTACAACAAACCATCCTCTTTTGAGAAGACTAATAAGTAAGAACCTTACATTCGAATATCAGATCATCATGAAGTAAAGACATAACGTACAATCTTTGGTTTTGAACTAGAAACCTATATATGAAATTACTTAACTTGGTATGAAAATACATGTTTTACCCAAGTTATAGAGGGCAAGTAAAGTATATATATATTGTTGGTTTGATTTTGAGTTAGGCTAGTAAAAACCATCGATCATATCTGAGAAGACATGTTAACAAGATTCCTACATTCGGAAGTGAGGTGACTAAATATACAAAGGATGTAATGTAACAATCTAACTATTGTCGGTAAGTTTTGGAACTGAAACTTACGAAACCAAAGTATTGGTAAGAATTAACACTTTTGTAGACCAAAGTATGATTTAGAGTTCAACTTTGAAGATGAGATTCCAGGTCATGTACTGAAAAAGGTAGAGGTTAAGTAATGATGTTTGATATATTTCCTATAATGAGATGAAACATCTTTCTTTGACCAATCATGAGCAGAATTATTTAGTGGCCTTTTCGCATCACGACGAATGGCGATAAACATTGTTTCAATATATGTGACTTCCAAGTTCCAAGCACATGATTGACAACCCTGGTCCTTTGACTGCACGTTACCTTATATGTTAAAGAGATTAATTAGAACCTTTTATGCCCATACTTGTCGAGAACCTCTGAGTTAGTTTATTTGATGGTAATTGAGCAAGAGACCAAACAAAAAATAGCAGAGGACATATGGAAAGTTCTCACGTGTCTCCATGTGATCTTGAACTCAATCAAGATACGAAGATCAACATCTTGCCACAATGGAGGATAATATATAGCTAGATAACTTCTCTCGGTCAAAGATTCACATATAGAATATAGTCATATAGATCGAACTTTGATGGATCTACGAGCTGGACATTAATCATCTCATCACAACTTCCTCTTCTATATATAAGGCTTTAGTAGATCTCTCTCATTCTATATATACAACTGAGTATTTGTAACATAAAATGGCACGCTTAGAAATGCATAACTCCATGAATGGTGCAGCAAGAATCTCTTTCTCTAACGAGTTTGTGGAAATCAGATCGGAGAAGAGTAATGCTAAGAGCAATAACATTGTTAACTCCAGAAGCTCCCTCTCCATGCACTCTGCTGATTTTGCTTTCTCAGTCACCGATTACGCAATGATTCCCGCCGATGAAATCTTCCTCAAAGGAAAGATCTTACCTCTCAAGGAGACTAGTCACGTCCATAGGACACTAAAAGAAGAGCTTCTCGTTGAAGAAGAGGGTTCTGTTATCGATCGCAACATCTTTTCCCTGAGGCCACTATCATTGCCTTCTTCATCTTTTTCTACAAAGGGCACGTGGAGGGAGCTGTTGGGCCTTAAGAGGACTCATGTTAGATCTAAGATCACTGATAAAGTCAATGAAGCAGATATTTTTTCACTCAGTCAAGATCACAAAACAATCTCAGGTATACAAACTATCTTTCTGGCTTATATGTATAACATTTTGTTAATTTGAGCTAATGAAAATGTTTTGGGGTTCAGGAATTGTTGCGATGAAGGAATAAGGAGTGTCAAGTTGCAGATAACATGATGAACGAATTGTAGAGCTATCACACTGGTTTCTGTAAATTAATTTAGATTATTTTATGATAATCTAGATTTGACTGTGTATTTACATGTTCTTTGGGAAAAGATGGTTCCAACAACTCTTTTTGGTTGATGTGTTTTGTTGTTCTTGTCAGTGTTTTGTTTTGTTGTGGAAACAATAATTTGGTCGGAACATCTCTGTTTTTTTAATGCAAGTGAAGAAGATTTGTATGTATAAGAAAGAAAAATAAGTTAAAATCACTTTTAGTTACAAAGTTGTAAACATGGACTTGTCTCACGAATCTTTTTTTTTTGGTGGGAACTTGTCTCACGAATCTTATCAGTCAATCAGACTTCTCTCCTACTTAGATGGACTAGTATTGAAAATTAAGTTGTAGAACGCTTGAGCATTAACAGGTGATAGGGTAAACGAGGAGACTCTGGTCAGCTTTTGAGCTGATCATTGATCTATGTATACGAAAACATAGTACAAATCATGATATTGATATACATAACATTCGCTTCAATATGGTTTAATGGGTTTTGAAACCAAAATGAAAAAGAAATAAACGAATATCCAAATTGGGCCATCGGAGTCCAACTTAGAAAAACAAATAAGTCGAGAAAAGATTCCAATATCCAACACTTTTTACCACTTCTTGGCCGAAAAAACAAAATAGAAGAAGAAAACGAAAAAGTAAGTAAAAAAAAATGTGAAGCCTCGTGGGTATTGAGTAGTGTAGTAGACTGTAGTAGTAGTACATTCTCGCATCTTTTTGTGTTGTGTCAGTATCTTTTTAACCGATCAGTACAGTACGAAACAATTTAACCATTTTAATCATAACCTCTGAATTTTCTCGTTGAATCTTTGAGTTGTGTAGCATCTTTGAGAGCTAATAATGACAAAGGAAAATACAGAAAAAGGAGAGACCAAAATAAAAGGGTGAAAAAGTTATAAATAAAGTCATTCTCGGTTTAGGAAATTAACAAAAGAGAGAGTTTATAATAATAATAATGGCAAAAGAGTTTTGGTATGACAAGATTTGTGACTGACCAATTTCTTTTACTGATTACAAAAGCGACCCGGAAACACACATACACCAATCATCATGTCTTCTTTTTATTTTTTTCCTAACAAGATAATTGTGAACTAGCTTTTTAGTTTAATACTACTATATATCAATTTTTTTTTTTTTTTTTTTTTTTTTGTCAGTAGAGGGATTTAGGGGCAATAACTAAAATATGTTTGCTACTCATGTGTATCATACATAAAAATCCAAGTAACATAGACATATAACAAAGTGACTAATAAAAATGGCTATTTAGGTTTTCTTCAAATGAGATTTCTGTTTTTTTTTTTGATATATGTATTTTTGAAGTAGTGTTATATATATATATATTGATATATGGGTGTAACGTAAGCATGTGAAGCACAAGTTTGTAGTTAATAAAATCAATAGACACTAGAGTAGCAGCAGTGTAGCAAGTAAATCCAAAGTGAGAATAAAATAGTAACTTTTTACACTAAAAAAAGCCTGATCAATAAACAGTAATATATATATTCCTTTACCACGTCAGCCTTAGCCTTTTATATTATTATTTTTCTTTCCTATACTCTTATTTTATTTCATTTTTTCGCTGTAAAAAAACAAATAATTATCTAAATATGATCATATTTAAAAAGTTATTTTTTAAATGGACAAAAAAATATTAACGTAAAGAAGGGAAAAAAGTTGAAGAATCTTTAAATTATCATACTACAATATTATTCATTTTTTAGGCTCTTCCTGCGATATAATATTTTAAAAAATTAATTCCTATGTTATAATTTACTAATCCAGAAAAACATGGATCTCTAATTAAATACTAATGAATGACAAAAGAAATTTGGATTTTACAAGTTATCAATTATTTAAAGAGAAAACAAAGAAAGGAAAGATATATACATTTGGATCTTGTAAAAACAAATATGATTACACAGAAGAGAAGAAAATTAAGTACATAAATTGGATGAGTCTTCATAATCATCATCATCATCATAAAGCTTCCTCATGGATTCAATTTAACCCAGTCGTATCGTCCTCCGAGCGGCTCATCTTTCTCGAAATCAAAGTTATACCTACAGACTCACTCATCCACCAAAACCATTAGCTTTCATATCTTTTAAAATTTTGTTTCTAATATGAATAAAATAAAATTAAACTTACTTCATAGAACATTCCAACATTTTATTCCGTAGATTTGTCTCCGCCGCTTGGAAAAAATCTTCTAACTCAGTTTCCTTCACCGTCGTCGTCGTCGTCTCACAGCTCTTCTTCAACTTATTCATCTTTAACCGACGACGAGGCTCAACTTCTTCTGACTCCTCTCTCATGTTCACCGATGATTCCTCACCACACGAATCGCTCCTTGACAATTTATAGAAAGAAGAATAAAATTTTAATAACTGGATTTTCAAAAATTCGAAACGAGCCAAAGAGAGAGAGATTCAAAAATTTCAAAATAATTCTTTGTTACCTCTTATTAAAATCATCATGAATCCACGACGTTCCACTTTGATCATCTTCACCGCTAATTTCCTGGAAAATATCAAAAAATTCAAAATCTGGAAAAAAAATAAAAATCGAGAGAAGAAGATGGCGCAACGAAGAAGAAGATTGTTTCATTGCTTTCATCACCTCTACATCTACAAATTCGATTCTCCGTTTCGATTTCTCTTTATCGGATCTATTATTATTACTAGAGCAACACGAAACCGACGACGAAGACGAATCTTCTTCAACCGCCGGCGGAGGTGGTGGCGAATCTCGCCGTCGGACGATAACAACACTCGTCTCCGAAGCTCCAGCTGAATTCCTTGCCACGGTTACGCCACGATTCGTCGCCTGTACACACGGCGACAATATTATCCTTGATGATTCCACTACATCCACCACCACCTCCTCCTCCTCCATCATCTTCCTCCTCTTCACCATCGTCGGCGGCGTGGTAAATCCATTCTCTTCCACCACATCTCGCTCTCTTCTCCTAACCGCCGCCATAATTTCCCACAACGTCACCTCCTTCTACTCAGATCTCTCTCTCTCTCTCTCTAAAATCACTCGTTTGTGTATTGTATTCTCTCTCTCTCTTTCTAGCTCAGCTCGCGTATTGTTTCTGTTATAGATGGTGACGATCTTGAGTTTGATTAGTGTTCGTAGTTTTTGAACGGCCAAGATTAACTCTTTGTCATTTTCATTGACAGAAACAAATTAATAAAATAAAGAGTCTCGTGTGAACTAGGAATAGTAAGTAACGGGGAATTTGACGGCGCTGTTATATAAATCGGTGGTGCTTTTCGTGAAAAATACAACATTGCCTATGTCATCGACACGTGTCCTTTATTATCTACAATTCCGTTATAACGGCTTCTAATGTTATAGAATCGGTGCGTAATCTTTTAATTTTTTTGGAGGGGGATTATTATTGAGTTTGAATTCGAATTTTTATTGTTTAATTTGGTTGTAGTTTAATATTAATTGTTTGGCTTTTCCAATGGAATGAGAATAATACTCGTGGTTTTAAGATAAGATTGGTTTGATTTGTTTTAAAAATTTTTATTTGTGTTGTTGTAATAATTGTTGAGTTTTTAGATGTAAAGGACAATAATATCCTTAGGTGAGATAGAGATATAACGATAAAGCCATCGAATCATCATTATCGTCACTGGTTCACGGACGACGACGAACCAAATTGGAAGAGTGTGTGTAAGAACTAAGAAGAGTAAGTGTAATTATAAGACCATCCCAAATTTGATTACTTTATTTATGATGTGTGTCATATGTTACATTGCTTAGCTAGTTTTATATAACATGTGTTAAATTATTTGTTAAAATCTTGTTAATATTCCGATTTATAGTTGTGTTTAGTTAGTTGTAATTTCTTGTGGCGATACAAAATACGTATTACGTAACACAAAAAACTTATTCACATGCTTAAAAATATTAGTTTTACACAGTGAAAACTTTACATAATTGAATTTGCCAATTATATTATCTATCATCTTTCGTCATATATGAATTTTGATTCTTTTTTATTCTGTCGTCCTATATACAAATTTTGAGAACTCATCAGAGAAGACACTGTGTCTGCATAACTATCATAGCCATTCGATTTAATAATATGCCCACGAGCTGCCTACTATCAATCATTACTAAACTGTCTCTCTCTTTTTTTCTTTTCTTTTTTTCTTCTTCTACACCATACATTATTACAATGTATATATATGAATGTACACTTTGGTGTAATATTATCAACCATATCACAATTGCAAATTATTATGAAATATATTCTTCATATATGTATGGGTAAAAAACTAACTAACCGTCCAATCATTTAACTATGTGTTAAATTAATTTATGGAACAAAAAAAAATATGGTAAACAAAGCATGTATAACCTAATATAATTTCACATAAATGTGTATTATTAATTCATAAATCACTACTATATATATATTTTAAATTTAATAAAAAATCGTTTTGATGGATAGTTTGGAATTTTAATTGCGATAATATTTTATTGGAAAAAACATTACTTTTAGGTATGACCCAGTTTTTATCCAAATTTATATAAAGACTGTGTCTATCATTAAAAGTGAATTTTGCAACACATCTAAATATATCTTTCTAGATGGAAAAAAATGCTATCCAATAAAACGAAAAAGGACTTAAGTGAATGCAGACAAGAGCACATGGGATCTTTAGTGATTTGTGTAGTGTGGGCACGAAATTTCATATTCAGTAAAGTCTATATCATTGATCATCATCATTACGATTTGTGTAATTACGCATAAAAAATGTTAGTTCGCTATTGACTACAAACCACTTTTCTATATACCTTTCTCTTTCACTTAATTATATCACAAAGACGTCAGTTTAATCTAAGCTAGAATACATGAACTACAATGGAAGGAGTCAGTTTCTCCATGTTTGTATTAAGTTTTGTAGATGGCTAAAGTTTTAAATTAAGGTTGATGTGCTAAATTAATAGTGTTTGATTAACGAGTGAGTGCTAAGTATTGCTTTGGGACAGACACACATGCACATGGCCTTAACTAAACTTACACATTTGATGTAAAACAAATTGTTAATTATGTGTTCAATGATGTTTAGTGTAGTTTTCCTTTTAATACTGTATTGTTTTACTGATCAAAGAATCAAATCTTGATTAGATGACATTTCATAGTTTTGTCTGTTTCTTACGAGATCAAACGTAATTTAGTTTATATATATTTTAATTTGTGGGGATCATGTATAGGTGTGTGAAGCTATATCACATGATTCACAACTACTACTGTTGGATTGTCAAAAAAAAAAAAAAAAAAAGGAGATGCCAAAATGATAATTGATGGAGGTGGGGTGGACCAAAGCTAGCTAGGCTTAAATATTCTCATACTAACCTTAATTAAATTGATCAAGCTAAAATGTATACTCTGATTGAGTGATTTATTTACAATTTTACAAATGATTAATTATGCGACCCAATAATGTCCTTTTATGAGTTAGACAGTTTTTATGGGATCATATATTATCTAACATTTAAACATTAACACATGATCGACTTCCCATAAGAGACAAAACATAAACGATATGATTAAGTTGATATATGAATAAACAAATCAGAGTAATAAACAAAATTAGTAACAATTATTGTTATTCTTCTAAAAGTGATGTATGTACGTAGTCAATTTTAACAAGAACTAAGAATGTGGTATATACTGTAGTGAACGTTTCTTTCGACATTATTTGGCTTAACGTGAATGATTGGAAACTTTAACTTTTAATTAGAAACTTGCTATGATAGGCCCATCTTAAAACTATATTATCGAATTGCATGCGATTATAAGTAACTCCAAAGTTAATAAAGAATTATTTTTGGAAGGTTCAAGGTTGAGTCCTTGTTAGAAGATAAGAGTAATGAATTATCTATTTTTCCGAAAAAAGAATATCATTCAATCTAATGCAACATACAGTTAATGCGAAATTGCACAGTTATATGGTCTTGTAAAACAATTTATTACAACTTACAACCAAAAATAAAATAAAAAATAAAGTATGGCTTAACTAAGTTCTCAGCTTGTTTTCTTAATATAATTAGCCTGACATATATGATATATGCATGGTTACATATCCATAAACCAATACATTAAGTAAAAGATGAAATTCGATTGATAGAAAAAATCAGTACCAAAGCTGAGAATTTATTTATTTTGATCGGACAAAGAAAGCTGACGACAACTTTTTATAATTAAGGAAATGAAAATAGCGATATACATTTTTATTCTAAGCCAAATATGAAAAGGAAATAAGTGATGTGTAGTGTTTTCTGTGTACTTTTAAAAATTATTCACGCAACTCAATTATAGGAGTGGGGATAAAAAAAAAAAAAAAAGCAGAGATCACTTTTTTTTTGAAGTCGAACTTTTTCCTTTTTCTTCACTATGGATTTCCCAAGGCTCCAATAAACCCTACAAAGACTCTCTTTCCGAAAGGGAGATTAAAATTCATGATCATTTAAAATTTTTTATTTTATTTATTGAAATAAAAAGCTGATTCCATCTTTCTTCTTCGATTATATATCGATGGAGACCTGGAAAGATTGCATTATTCACGTGTTCTTCGTCTTCATCAACCTTTTCTTATAAAGAAACTAAACTTTCGTGCGTTGCTTATGAAAATATACCAATATTATTTGGGACATAATGTCATCTTTTGGTGATATATACTTGGCCATCTCAACCATTACAAAGAAACAGTTTGTTATTATGATATGACTACATATATGAGATTTCAAAGGAAGAAGCATATCGTTGTAGGAGTCATCAAATGTTGGTTTTAGAAAACCTATATATAGCAATTAAAAATTACTTAGTCAATTTGTATTACCACATGGAAAACCCTATATACATAGAGCGAGAAGCCTAGAAATACATGTCCGTGTAAGATACAGACGATGCTTCATCCAAATGGACCAAACAGTAATAAATATTACACACCTATTAATAATTGGTATGATGGTGAACTAGCATAAGAGGACAAGCTACATTTTATTTAGATGTTAGTGTGAACGATAATGAAACATTTCCAATGGGCCTTACAACAAAAACAGAGAATATCCAAGTAAGAATATGTCCAGCTCCCAAGTCCAGTCAACAGCCCAGTCAACTAATGAAAAACAAGACAAAGAACCAGAAGACTCCTTGTACGGAGAAGATGACGATCCTTTTGCAGAACACATTCAAACCTCTGCAACTCTTGTCTGGTGACTCACCATTGACTGCAAAATGAAATTGTTTTCTTTTATTCTTGCTTTCTTTTATTCTCGATTGTTCCAATCTCTATTATATAAGCTATGTGTAAATCATCAATTGTAAGTAAGTAAAAGAGAGTAATATTCAGAAATCTTGTTGTTTTTCACTTTCCTCTTCATGGTATCAGAGCCACTGTAAATCCTAACAGGTACATCAATGGCGACCACTTATCCTTTCCCGGATAACGTTCATGTCTCAAGTTCTGTTACTCTCAAGCTAACCGATAGCAACTATCTATTGTGGAAGACGCAGTTTGAATCCCTTCTCTCCAGCCAAAAGCTCATCGGATTTGTCAATGGAGCTGTCGTTGCTCCAGCTCAGACCCGCCGTGTCGTGAATGGTGGCGTCACCACTGAAGAACCCAACCCTCCGTATGAGTCATGGTTCTACAACGATCAACTCGTCAGATCTTGGTTGTTTGGTACTTTGTCTGAAGAAGTCCTTGGCCATGTTCATAGCCTGGAAACATCTCGACAGATCTGGGTTTCTCTTGCTGAGAACTTCAACAAAAGTAGTGTTGCTAGCGAGTTCTCCCTCCGTCGTAGTCTCCAGCTCTTGTCGAAAAAGGATAAGTCTCTCTCTACCTATTGTCGTGAGTTTATAATCATTTGTGACTCCCTAAGCTCCATTGGGAAACCGATTGATGAGTCCATGAAAATCTTTGGCTTTCTCAATGGACTAGGCAGAGAATATGATCCGATAACAACGGTCATCCAGAGTTCTTTGAGCAAACAACCACCACCGACGTTTAACGACGTCATCACTGACGTTCAAGGTTTTGATAGCAAGCTGCAGTCTT